CTCCCAGTGGCCCCCAGTCTCTCCCAGTGGCTCCCAGTGGCTCCCAGTCGCTCCCAGTGGCTCCCAGTGGCGTCCAGGTGCAGCTCCCAGTGCTCCCAGTGCTCCCAGTCCCCGCCCGCGGTGGCTCTGTGGCCGCCGTGCCCGGCAGGGGCAGAAATGTGGGGACAGAGGTGACGCAGGTGCCACGCCCTGGGCAGGCCCCGCCCCCCGGGCCACGCCCGGAGCTCCTCAAACTTCCTCGTGTGGTGGCAGCGGGGTCACCAGGAGGTCACCGAACTGGGGACACCGAACTGGGGACACCGAACTGGGGACATCGAACTGGGGACATCGAACTGGGGACATCGAACTGGGGACACCGAACTGGGGACATCGAACTGGGGACATCGAACTGGGGACATCGAACTGGGGACACCGAACTGGGGACACCGAACTGGGGACATCGAACTGGGGACATCGAACTGGGGACATCGAACTGGGGACACCGAACTGGGGACACCGAACTGGGGACATCGAACTGGGGACATCGAACTGGGGACATCGAACTGGGGACACCGAACTGGGGACAACGAACTGGGGACATCGAACTGGGGACATCGAACTGGGGACACCGAAATGGGGACATCGAACTGGGGACACCGAACTGGGGACACCGAACTGGGGACACCACAGGGTCACCGAACTGGGGACACCGAAATGGGGTCACACCGGGGTCACCATGGGGTCACACCGGGGTCACCAAACTGGGGACACTGAACTGGGGTCACCAACAGGGTCACCCAAACCCGGGGACACCAAACTGGGGACACACCAAGGTCACTACAAGGTCACCAGAAACTGGGGACACCGAACTGGGGACACTGAACTGGGGACACCAAACTGGGGACACCGAACTGGGGACACCAAACTGGGGACACCGAACTGGGGACATCGAACTGGGGTCACCACGGGGTCACACCAGGGTCACACCGGGGTCACCGAAATGGGGACACTGAACTGGGGACACCGAACTGGGGACATCAAACTGGGGACACACCAAGGTCACTACAAGGTCACCAGAAACTGGGGACACCAAACTGGGGACACTGAACTGGGGACACCACGGGGTCACCAAACTGGGGACATCAAACTGGGGACACCGAACTGGGGACATCGAACTGGGGTCACCAAACTGGGGACATCAAACTGGGGACACCAAACTGGGGACATCGAACTGGGGACATCGAACTGGGGACACCAAACTGGGGACACCGAACTGGGGACATCGAACTGGGGACACCAAACTGGGGACACCATGGACACACTGTCCGCAGGGTGACAGGGACACAGCGGGGTCACCAAACAGGTGCCACCGTGGTTATACAGGTGCCACCACAGGGGTGACAGGGACACTCAGGTGCCACCACAGGGGTCACAGGGACACTTAGGTGTCACCATGGACACTCAGGTGTCACCACAGGGCTGACAGGGACACTCAGGTGTCACCATGGACACTTAGGTGCCACCACAGGGCTGACAGGGACACTCAGGTGTCACCACAGGGGTGACAGGGACACTCAGGTGCCACCATGGACACTCAGGTGCCACCACAGAGCTGACAGGGACACTCAGGTGCCACCCCAGGGGTCACAGGGACACTCAGGTGCCACCCCAGGGGTGACAGGGACACGCAGGTGTCACCAAACAGGTGTCACTGTGGTCACACAGGTGTCACCATGGACACACAGGTGTCACCACAGACATGCAGGTGTCACCATGGCCACACAGGTGTCACCCCAGGGGTGACAGGGACACTCAGTGTCCCCAAAGTGTCCCCAAGTGTCCCCAGAATTTCCCCAGAGTGTCCCCAAAGCATCCTCAAGTGTCCCAAAGTGTCCCCAAAGTGTCCCAAACTGTCCTCAAGTGTCCCCAAGTGTCCCCAAAGCATCCCCAAAGTGTCCCCAGAATGTCCCCAGTGTCCCCAAAGTATCCCCAAGTGTCCCCAAGTGTCCCCAAAGCATCCCCAAAGTGTCCCCAGAATGTCCCCAGTGTCCCCAAAGCATCCCCAAGTGTCCCAAAGTGTCCCCAAAGTGTCCCCAAAGCATCCCCAGGTGTCCCCAAAGTGTCCCCAAAGCATCCCCAAGTGTCCCAAAGTGTCCCCAAGTGTCCCCAGAGTCTCCCCAGAATGTCCCCAAAGCATCCTCAAGTATCCCCAAGTGTCCCCAGGTGTCCCCAAAGTGTCCCCAAGTGTCCTCAGTGTCCCCAAAGTGTCCCCAAAGCATCCCCAGGTGTCCCCAGGTGTCCCCCAGTGTCCCCAGGTGTCCCCAGGTGTCCCCAGGTGTCCCCAAAGTGTCCCCAAAGTGTCCCCAAAGTGTCCCCAAAGCGTCCCCAAGTGTCCCCAGAGTCTCCCCAGAATGTCCCCAAAGCATCCCCAGGTGTCCCCAGGTGTCCCCAAAGTGTCCCCCAGTGTCCCCAGAATGTCCCCAAAGTGTCCCCAGGTGTCTCCAAGTGTCCCCAGGTGTCCCCAGGTGTCCCCAGGTGTCCCCAGCTGTCCCCAGGTGTCCCCAGGTGTCCCCAGGTGTCCCATCAGAACCGCAGCAGCCGCTCCCTTCCAAACTCTTTTATTTCCGTTCTTTAAAAAAACCCCAAACAGTAAAAAAATAAAACCAAAACCGTACCAAAACCTCCCAGTGGGGGAGGGGAGGGGATTCAGGAGCCTGGGGGGGTCCCCTGGGAATTTGGGGCGGTCCTGGGGGGGTCTCCCCTCAATCCAGGGGGTCCCCTGGGAATTTGGGGTGGTTCTGGGGGTCTCCCCTCAGTCCAGGGGTCTCCCCTGGGAATTGGGGGTGCTCCTGGGGGGTCTCCCCTCAATCCAGGGGAATTGGGGGTGACCCTGGGGGGTCTCCCCTCCGTCCAGGGGGTCCCCTGGGAATTTGGGGAGGTTCTGGGGGTCTCCCCTCAATCCAGGCGAATTGGGGGCGGTTCCAGGGGTCTCCCCTGGGAATTGGGGGCAATTCTGGGGGGTCTCCCCTCAATCCAGGGGAATTTGGGGCGGTCCTGGGGGTCTCCCCTGGGAATTTGGGGAGGTTCTGGGGGGTCTCCCTTCAATCCAGGGGAATTTGGGGTGCTCCTGGGGGTCTCCCCTCAGTCCAGGGGGATCCCCACAGACCCCAGAGCCTCCCGAGCCCAGGCCGGGGGTCCCCCGCGCCCCCCGTACATTTTGGCCATGAAGTCCCGCACGAACTCCGGGAAGCGCCGCTGGACGATGCTCTCCCGGATGGAACCCATCAGCTTCATCTGAGGAGGGGTCCCGAGGCTCAGGGGGGGGCTCTGAGACCCCCAAATCCCCCCCAAATCCCCCCCAGAAGCCCCCCAGAAGCCCCCAGCCCCACCTGGTAGGCGACGTTGTGCAGGGTGAGCAGGTGCAGCGCGGCCGTGTTGGAGCGGAGCAGAGCGTGCAGGAACGCCCTGGAATGCCTGGAAAAGGAGAGGAAATCGGGAATTTGGGGAGGGGGACACCTCAAAGACCCCTCCCCTAAAATCCCCCCGCCCACCTCCGGCACGCGGGGCAGCCGCAGTCGGCGTCGATGGGTCGGAAATCTTTGGCGAATCGCTGATTTTTCAACTGCAGGGACCCCCAGGGCACCAAAGCCGAACCGAAACGCTGCCCAGGGGTTGGGGAGGGTTATGGGGGGGTCCCCAAAATCTTGGGGAGGGGTCCGGGGGGGGGTCCCCAAACCCCCCTGCGGACCCCCACTCACCGCCGTGCGCGTGGGGAAGACGCAGTCGAACATGTCGCAGCCCAGCGCGACGCAAACCACCAGGTCCGTGGCGTAGCTGAGGGGGGGGCGAATTGGGGCTGAATCCGGGGGTCTCCGGGGGTCTTTGGGGGTCCCCGAAGCCCCCAGACTCACCCCACGCCCATCAGGTAGCGGGGTTTGTCGCGGGGCAGGTGCTCGGCGCTCAGCTTCACCGTGCGCCAGAAGCTCGCCTTGTCCTCGCCCCCGCTCAGGCCCCCGATGGCGAATCCCGGCACGTCCCGCTGGGTCATGGCTGGGAAACGGCGGTGGGAGACCCCCAAATCAGCCCTGGGACCCCCCAAATCACCCCTGGGACCCCCCAAATTATCCCTGGGAGCCCCCC